CCCAATTCTGGCCCATACCCCCCCCCCCCCCCCTTGGGTTTGCAATTTCATTTTGTCATTTTATGTTTTATTTGTCTTATTTTTATTTTTTCCCTTTTATTAAACAATTAACATAATTAACATTTTTATATAAAAATCAAAATAAATAAAAACTAACAAATAAAATAGTTTAATTAGGTCAATTTTAATTTCTTTTTTTCTTTACAATAAATAAAAATAATTTAGAATTAGGTTAACTTTTAATTTTAATTCTTTTATTTTATTTTCATTAAAAAACATAAAAATACAAAAATCTTTTCTTTTAATAAATTAATCAATCAGTAATTAGGCTTTATTTAATTAATTGCATTTAAATCAAAAAGACAAAAAATTCAATTCTTTTCAAAAAAGGGGTCAACACCCTTAAGACATTCCCGATTCATTCTTTCGCGCGTATTTTAGTTTTAATTCTTTATTTTGATTATTTCTGTAACTGTCTCCGGATGTAATAGTAATTAGGATTTTACTGCTTTATTTACTATTTCTCGCACTTTATTTTACAAAACGGGTCTTTGTTTTTTTTGGCGATGTATAGACCCGCGCCTTGTAATAATTAGAATTTACATTTCTGCAATTTACTTTCCGCACCCCTAACTGTTAAATGCATGAAAGAATGTATGTAAATAAAACCAATCAGTAGCTCACAAATAACATGTACAAAGACAATTAACTGAAAAACAACACATAATGCACATGCCACTCTTAGGGTATGCCTCACTGGTTGCCTCGAAACGTGGTCATCAAGTATAGGACGTCTTAGAGGTCACCCTTTATCTAAAGATCCAGTTGCCTCGAAATGGTTGCCTCGGATAAAAAAGGATCTAGGACATTAGGGTTACTTCTAAGGTGTCCTACCGTTGCTTCGGTGACCACACTGTCCCGATAATCGAATTGACCCAAACAACTCCAACGATGGTGCTACCTATCTCTCAATGGTGGGATAGCACTATCTAAAGGACTCTTACACAGCTTAATTCCTTAGGGTAGGTAGATGACTCATGGGTACTTGCTCTTCTAAAAAAAACAAACAAAACAACTTTTCACACCTCACACTTTCTAAAAGTTTTCAAACAAAATTTTCATACACTCTTGAGAACTGATACAAGAGTTACTTAGAAATCTTTCAAACGAAACTTTTTCAAAACCCACACACACTTGAAAAGAAAACAATTTTGAAAACATAAGAGCAAGTACCTAAGAGCCCGTGGATAACCACGGATAGAAAGGGTGCTAACACCTTCCCTTTCTATAAATCTACCTCCCGAACCGAGAAACATTATCATAAGGAATTTTGTTGTGCTTTTGTCCTTTCTATGTTGGAGAACATAAAAGACGGTGGCGACTCTTGCTTCCGCGACATTTCGCGAAACCAACTTTAAAACAGTTAGTTCTATTTCCACCGATCACACCAAGCATAACCTTCTCATACTTTATCAGAAATTTCTCATCTAAGTCTCATTTTTAATAGAATTCAATTCCCTACAACTCATCTTCATCCCTCAAGTTCAAGAAATGAATTCATCAAAAGATATGGATTCAGACATTATAGATCATTCCAAAAAGTCAACAAAACAACTTTTGGGTCAAAGCTTCTTACATGAACATGGAAGATCCAATTGAGATGAAACCAAAGAGGTTGTTTAGGGGACATCCTAAGCTTTTTAAAAAGTCCAAGAACACCCTCTTAAGGTCAAAATTGAGAGAGATATGCATTGTCAAAGTTGTCCATTTTTGGAAATTTGCCCAAAGTCAATAATGCTCAAAATTACATTTTTGCCAAATGGGCTTAACTTTTTATGCTTGCATTATGCCTCTAACAATGTCCACAACCCAAAAACTCTACCAAATATTATTGACTTTATTTATTTAATTTATTTTGATTTTTTATCATTTAAAAGTCAAATTAAATCAAATAAATGATATAAAATATGGGAGATTTGTTTTTGATCTGATTTTGAATGGAATTATAATGAAAATATGCTAACAAACCAAATCAAATGGTGCCAAGGGTGATTGGGATGAAAATGGTATGATTTGGCTTGATATAGAAAGAAATAATGCAAAGATGGAATCAAATCAAATCTTGATAATTGACAAAGATATGCATGTTTTTTGTTAACCTAATACAGTCTAGTACATATACACAACAAATGCAAGGCACAAGAGAGAGGAGACTATCCTTGTACTATTGTATAAAAACCAAAGTCTTAGTCACATACATTACAATTAATTTTTTTGGTTATGGGAATATATATGTTTGCATAAGGATTATGTTGAAACCTGATAACCATACTTTAATATATAAAGCAAGAGTTTAATATGGAAAGTGTCAATATGAAGTAACTGTAAAGAAATAATATAACCTTCAAAGAGACAAATATTCATAACTACCTAAGAAAGGATCATAATCAGAATCGTTATCGTCATCACTATCGCCATCACTTTCAAAATCCAAGTTAACCATAGGTTTAAAAATATTGCATTTGTTTAGACTTGAGAATTGTTGTGAAGTTTAACCAATATGTACCTTCGGAGAAACAAAAGTTGCAGAGTTGTAAATAATGAAATGATCATAAGTCAGAATCAGCATCAAATTCAAAAAATAGGGTGTTTGGTAATACATACATACATTACATAGGAGGATTGAGAGGAATTGAATTTTGGCACTCCGTAGATTTATTTGGTGGAGTTAAATTAATTTGATCTGTGCGTATAAGGTTGTATGCTCTATCTGGAACTCCAAATGTCTTTTTTGGACGACCCCTCCCACGTTTGTTGTGTGTAGTGTTTGGACAATTTGGCTTTGTAGGTGAATTGATGTATATTTAGATAAGATTAATTAGCTATTAATAATCAAATAAATTTATGTAACATTTTATCATAACTTACATGGGTGTAGCCGATGAAAATTTGATATCCGATTGATTAATTGATGTTTGGCCAGGATGAGGTAGTATGGAAGGGTTTTGATTTTTTTCCCCCTGCTTTGGTTGCAACTGTGGAAAAAACTGAAAGTAAGTTTGTCCTGATGCTATTGATGTCCAACTATTTTGGTGGTATGTGAAAAGCGTGTTTGGTACGATAAGGTTGGGTCTGTGGCATTATACTTTCCCGGTTTATGTGAGAAACACTTGGTAATGACATATCAGAAAGTGGATTCCTAATGGCAGGAGGGGTGTTCTTAAATGCGGAAGTATCATGTTTGAATCGTTTGAATTTCTTATGTTTCATAATGCTAAAACTCCGAAACCTAGCTCTTTTTGAAGTAAATTTCCTCCACAAAAAAGCGTCATTAATAATGGCACTGTAGTTTGTTGGCCTGCTTTGAAAATGAGTAGCATAAAATATAATACATTGAATAAATTGGGGTCACCTAAAACCATTACGATGTAATAGTACATTGTAAAAAGATAAAATTAGGAGGGAGCAGGAGTATACCTGATTAATGGGTGATGTTTATAGGTTTGTTCGATTAGATGCAAATAGAGTTTAATTATCTATAATTAGAATGGTTTTTGTAGTCTTAAATATTAATAAACTCTAGCACAATTTAATATGGAAACAAAATTCATATATCAGTATAAATTTATCTTACGTCTCTACATCCAAACGTTTAAGTATGAATGTTTGAACTCCGGTTTTAAACAATGGTAAAATTGGTAGTGCAAAGAAACTTCAGTCACTAATTGTATGATAACAATAAAGGTGAGTAAGGTTGTAGTTTATATGGAAAAGAAACTGAAGTCCCTAACTGTATGATAACAATAAAGATGAGTAAGGCTTACAGTTTGAGAAGTTGGGTAGAAGTATTGCAGTTCAAAGATGTTGGATGGAACTGATACTACCAAACACCCCTGCATTGACTGTAAACAAAGGACAAAGGGAAAAGTCAACCTAAAAAACATTTAATACCAAGGGTGGAGATGTTATTTACATGTAGACAAACTGGTTAAAACAAATAGTAACCGAATTGTAATAAAATGAAGTTGAGTTGAAACTATGTATAAGTGATTAGACAAGTCACTGTACTAATAGGTGAGTAGCAGGTCTGAAAAACTATCACGAAGGTTAATTATTGTACCTGGTAAGTAGTAAAGAGGCATGAAAAGATGCATTAAGGAGTTATTTTACAGTAGCACAGAAATCGAAGCCAGTCTGTAGTTTATATAGCAAGTAGGATGTCTTGATGATATTCACTGTTATTAAGCAGGAAAATACCTTTAATACCAACCAAAAAAGTTTACTCATTATTGTTTGGAGATAAAGCCGTATGTTTGGACTTCAATGTAACATTTTAATAGTATAAATTTATTCATTTTAAGGTGTAGACGGTACAAATGTAAATAAAAAAAGGTACAGATAAATTATTCTGAAAGTTATAGTTTGGACTCTATAGGTAAAATTTAATGTAACATGTACAAAATTAAGTTGTTAATGGATATATAGTTTTATTGGATATAATTTAAAAGCTGAGATAATGTAATCGTATACTTTAAAAGTGTGAAGATTTGAAAATTTAATTCCCATTAATTTATACTGAGTTGATCTCCCCAAGCAGGTCAGTTTAAATGGACTTTGTTATTGAAAATTGTATGGATTAATATGTGTTGAATATAAGTCCCTCTTACCAAACTGAAGCATTAATAATGAAACATTGTGAAAGTAAATACCAATATTATACGAATAATGGATGGACATGAAAATATAAAAGGTATAAAATCTTTAATTAACTTAAGGATGACACCATTAACCATGAGTTGTTAACAAATACAAGTTTTTTAATTATCTGGTAAGTAGTGAAAAGATAACTAAAACATTGTTCCAAACAGAAGTTGACATAAAAGATTTGTTCAACAAATACATGATTACTCAAAATATATGTTTTTCATAGAAGATCCCAAAACAAAAGCTTGTGTCCTAAACATTTTGCATGGCAATCACAAAAAAGGCAGAATTGATCTTCACTTGTTTTTTGTGTTCCTTCCAGACTTGGTCTTTGCCGCATTTGTTGCAGAAAGTTTTGGTGATAAAAGATCAGGGCCCTCCAGATCTTGAACTAAATCAGGTGACAACCACTTTGAAGGGGTGTTGGAAATGCTGGCTTCGGGGCTCCAATTCTGTGTTGCAGATGTAGTTGTCTGAAACATATGCAGCAATGTATGTTAGTGTGTTCAAAATGATCGTATAAGGAGGTTTCATTAGCTTAAATGAGGAATTAATAAAGGCTTACTTTGGAATGAGTAACATTAGTCTGTGTGTTTACGACATTGTTGTCTTCCAAGAAGAGTACGACCTTTCCCTTAGGAGATTCATCCTTGTTGGTGATGGTTAGACAAGCCTAAAAGCAAGTGTGCAATATGTTAGCATATTGGACTTACAAAAATAAATTGAGTTGGATTGTTAATTTTCATACCTGAGAATGTGTAATAACTTCTTCTATCTGCCGCATCACCTTACAATCTTGAGTTAGTCTAACTATAGATGCTTGTCTGTAGTAAGGCTGGTATTTAGCACGAAAAGCAAAGTCTTTGTCCAACAGATGGTCAAGGTATTCCGGATAAATCAGAGGATGGTCCTTATTTGTCTACGATGTATAACACAATAAGTATAAGTAAGAGCTGTCATGTATAATATTGAGTAATATGCAATATGTACAATGATGGAAATTAGGATTTGCAGCCTGTATTGTCCAAGACTTTTGTAAATATAGAATGAGGCTTTAGTAAATCAGAAGTAAGACTGGAGCATTACAGGCTAAAGTAAATAGTAAAGCTAAAGTAAATAGAATTATATGATCATATAAGAGAAAATCATGATATGTCTAAAAATATTTTACATTGGATTAAAGATTTATTTCATAACATAAGCAAAACAGGATGATCAGATAAGACTTATTCATGATTAGAATTAAAATAATGGGATAAGTTATAGAATGTAATAGTTTGTTTCAAATATAGTTTGTATCAGTAGTAATACGGTGAAATGTAAATTTCAGATGGCAATGAATTATAGTATGAGCACATTTGATGTAAAATAAAAAGTATAGTTTGGTTGAGAAAACAGTTTGTACTAGGAGCAATATTTTCAAATGTAAATTTCAGATGCCAATGTTGATGTAAATTACAAACCTTTTTCATTACCTGTCTTAGTGCATGAGCCGACATGCCAATGTAAGGAATACACTCCTTGTCCCAAAACACAAAATTAGAAGTCTTGGATTCGTGTTCGACCTCAATCTCAATTTTATACCTATAGGGGGGGACATAAACAATAATAAGGTATACTACAAATATCTTTCATTGATATGCATAAAATTTAAAATATGATAGTGTTGTTTAACGAAGCTTACTTAGTTATCGGGGTTGAACTGTTATCAGAACAATTGCATTGGAATGGGGAGCCTGGAGATTGGTTGGTTTTGTTACAAGTTTGACATAACCCATAATACCACCCGAAAGGGTTAGCCTTGAACCTCACTGTCTTTCCAACCATATTGCAGAAGGTTTCCTACATAAATTAAAGTAGTGATTACAATACATGGATAAAAAAAAATAGTAGCCGCCAGGTGAAGTAAAAGAAATGCCAAAAAGGTAACAAACTTCAGTAAGAGTTGTGATCTCAGCAATGCTTTTAACATCCTTGGTGAATGAGAAAGCCCTGTTGTCGATTACTCATTGTGAACATGAATTCAGAGAAATTGACTGGGTAGTTGCCTGATCTTGATTACCTTCAAGAAATTTGTGATATACACAAGTTTCATCAAAATTATATAGTAAGGATATTAACATTATATTAGTAATAGACAAATGATATCATATTACTATAATTTGTTTTGAATTCCTCAAGTTATGGATGATCAAGGTTCAGAAGTAGTCTTGAGCCATTCCATGCAATAGAAATAGTAAGCTTTTCATTGGCTACAAAAAATAGGCAATTATTCTAATGTAACGACAACATGACATTTTGACAAAAACAGTTTTACAAAACCTGAGTTCTGACAACACCATGCGTGAGTAAGGATGAGGAACACATGTCAATTTTTAGCAGCATAATTCATAAACTGGTTTGCATATGCTTCCCTTAGAGTAACATCCATTTCAGCCCCACTACAAATACAAGTATAAACCAGTGTTACTTTGAAAACCTAATCTATATAAATTAGTTGAAGTAAAAAAGTAATGTAAAATTAAAGTAAGAAACCATTCATCAGATAAATGTGAGGTTTACGCATGCCTTTTTTCCAGCACCAAATACTTGAGTTCTAACAACTTGCTGGACAACACCTATTACATATGAAAGCAATATCATTGAAGGTTAGAATGGTGACAATAAATAACTGGACTTTATTAAGAAGAGAGTAGGACATTAAATACCGTAAAGGCAGCCACCAATGAAATCTCCGTTTTGGAAATTAGTAAAGGACTTAAAGTAGAAGTTGTGTTGTGGAATATCTGATATGTCAACCGCAGTGATAGTTGTGGAACGATTAAAAAACAACTTGTATTTGTTATCACAAAATTTCATAGGCATGTAGTACAACATCGTTTCACCATTATAGACCATGTAGGTTTGATTTTCCAGCAAGTTATTCTTCTAAACATCAAGGTCACAGGAGCGGGTTACAACATGGATCTGCTCAGCCTATAAATGAAAAAATATTGAAACAATGTATAAAACTTTCTCACATTCAGGTTTAACACATGTGATATAAACAATGAAAAATACCTTTGCATCTTGAATAATAGCTTCAAGATGCTGCTGGCCATTGCGTTCCTTGACGTTCCAGACATCGACGACAGAATAGCTATTTTTCATACGTTTTGTTCAGGTTTCAGGTTGCAAATCATAATAGGTGGTCGCGACATGGTTGATCGGTAAACTAAAAAACAAACCAGGTTTACATGATAATTAAACCTTTATAAAAATCAAATATTTATAAAACTGAAAAGTGAAAAAAACCTTTATAAAAATCAAACCTTTATAAAACCGAAGAAAAAAATGTTAATTAAACCTTTATGAAAATAAAACCTTTATAAAAATCAAACCTTTATATAACTCTTAGCTTTATAACAAATAAATAGGAGTTTCTAACATCCTAACAAATGTGTTACACACTCACAGATATAAGCATATGAAAATATAGACAAGTAGAAACATGAAAATATAATCAGACAAGTCAAAACATGAAAAGAAGATGAACATGTTAACACAATATTGATAGATAAAAACATAAAAAGGTCATTAGAAATCAAAACCCAGACAAGAAGATTATAAAAAGCAAATGTTATAAATGGTGAAACTTTTCAAAAATCAAAACTTTATAAATGTCACAACTTTAGAAATCTCACAACTTTGTTAAATCAACTCAGAATCATGGCAATAAAACATGATGAACAACAAGAATGTTGATGTGTTGCCTGTGGAAGGCGGTTGGAAAGAGAGAAGAAGAAGCCGAAAATGCTTTGGCAGGGAATATATGGAGAGATATTAGGGAGCAAACATGAAGTGAAGAATGAGAGCGAAGGGTGTTTTGTAAAGGGGTATTCGAATGGTGCATGGAGATGTCTACCGGGTAAAGCATAGTTTCAATAAAGGTGAAGGGAAACCCAATGGTTAATGCTATAGTAATGATGTTGATGTTATTGGTTAATTGTGATTAAGGGAGGTTGAAATTGATTTAGCAAATTACCATCAAGTGCAATTCTTAGTGCAATTAAATTATGAAATAAGGGTAATTTAGGTTGTTTAGTGGCATGTTATTTTCTTAGTTAGGTAGTTGATTTCTTCATGGTTTATAACAAACATGGGGAGTTATATAACATATTCGTTCACAGTAAAAAAAAGCTCATAACAGAAAAAGAACAGATTCCATAACTGTCATAACAACCTACATAACTAACTCTCATCTCACCATCGATGAACAAACTGAATCCCTCTAATCAACGGTCTAGATTCACTCTGCTCTAAACTAACTTATTCATTCAACAAGATATATAACAAAAATCATAATAGAATTCAGGGGGAGGATTCATGACAAAAAATCCGAGAAACAATCAAGAACTCACCTCTGAGAAATCTCTCTTCTCTCTGCACTCTCAAAAGGTGATCTTCTTTTTTTTTTCCTGCGAGGAGTATATCTTCATCTTCTCTGAACCGCTTCAGTAATTTCTCTCCCTCTCCTCCATCTTTAACTTCAACCTTCAACAATCACCTTCACCATTTTTCTCTCCTTTCAACCTTCAACACCACAAACGCACACACTTTGTTCTTCACCTTTATACATTACCAACCTCACTCTCCAAGCCTCAACCTATTTCTTCCTCCAACCTCACACCGTACCTTTGCATCTTCTTCATATTTCATCATCACCAATAACATTAACATCATAGCTACTTCAATACAACAAATCGATAAACCTAAATAATAGCACTACTCCGCTTACACAAACACAACAACAACGACACGACAACACCTCATAAGCGATCCAAATCATACACAAAACCAAAACAAGAAGAGAAAAAGAAAATTAGGAGCGAGGAAAAGTAAAGAATTCCAAAGAATACCTGGTTGTGTGAATCTCAAATGTCTATCCTTCGCCATCGTCTTGAGGTAGGCATCCTGAAGTATCATCTTAGCTTTTTTCAGCATTGCATTGTGATTTAGAGGTCGATTCACCACCTTCTCGCGCGGTTTTCATGGATTATTGAATCTAGGGTTCGATATCCCTAATCTTTTTATCCTCGAAGTTAGGAGGAATTGATGCAATCTATGATCATTATAGGTTTCGAGAGGCATTTTGGGATAGGTTTGGTGTTGAGACGTCCAAATTTCCTCATATCCAGCGCAGTGACGCTTTTTGTTCTAACGGTGAGAAGAGAGAGTTTAGGACGAGAGGGTGGAGTCTGAGATGGTTTTGAATGAAGATGAATCATCACATTCTAAACTCTTCATTTTGATTAATATCTCCTATCCCTCTTCTTTGTTTATTTATTTCCAATTTTATTTTGCTATTATCGGACAGTAATATGAAATATGGACTGGGCCTGGCCATTGAATTGCAACCGTATCCCCATCCTCACTATACTGCAACATATTTTTTTATTCTAAATAGAACCATTAGGCCTCTGTACTACGGTCCTGATCCTTTCTTGTGGTCTAACACCACCATTTTCTAGATTACACCCCTAGTCCTTCTTTTCCTTATTAGATTTAGGACTTTCTTTTAATTTTTTTATATCTTTTTGTGATAAAAATTAAAAAGTCAATAAAAACTTGTTTGATTATTTTATTTTGATTTTAGGAATTAATTCATGATTATTCGATCACTCGAGACTTGTGATTCAAATTTGCATATCGAGATTTGAGTCTTATTCAGGTTATTGTGTGATATGCAGATACAGTTGAGTTTTCGATTGTGATTTATATTTATATCGATGATGTCTCGAAACTTATTCCGAGCATTCGATCTCTAACTTTTTGTTTGTCGATGCTAGCTCGCACGAACTATTCTGGGGTTCTTTGCTTTGGTTCCATTTTTTGCAGACATCATTGTTCATTTGGTATTATACTACTTCCAATTTATCTTTCCGCATTTTACTGCTTTCTAGATATCATGAGAAGTAGGATCATAAAGAGCGTGCACTCAAAGTCGCTGTTTAAAGACCTGTAGCCGGAATTCCACACTTGTTTTCTAGTTGTGTTTGTGTTTGTCTTCATGGGTGGACAATCAATGATGTCACTCAATTAGAATTGAGATAACGACTTCAATCTTTTGCATGCTCTCCTTAGGATTTTCACTTTCCTTTGTTTATGATTGATGATGTCACTCAATTAGAATTGAGATAACGACTTTGATCTTTTGCATGCTCTCCATATGATTTTCACTTTCCTTGGTTGATGATCGATGATGTCACTCAATTAGAATTGAGATAACGACTTCGGTCTTTTGCATTCTCCCCCTTAGGATTTTCATTTTTTTGTTGATAATCGATGATGTCAATCAATTAGAATTGAGATAATGACTTCGATCTTTGCATGTGTGATATGGTGGCAAAACCGACTGTTATACTGGTTTTGCGTTTGTATTCGCAAATGTTGCGGTAAGCAAGAGTCACCACCTACTTTTATTTCATCGAACACAGGAAAAGGAAAAAGAAAAGAAAAAACCATTTTTCGAGATGTTTCTGAGTACGGGGGTAGATTATAGAAAGGGAAGATATTAGTACCCTTTCTATCCATGGTTTTCCATGGGCTCTTAGGTACCTACTCATTTTTGAAATTTCTTTTATGCTTGTGCATTTGAAAAGTTTTGAAATTTGCCTTAGTGCGGCGTTTCACTTTATGGTAATCCTTGTATCAGTCCTTAAGGATGTGATAAATTTTTTTGAAAACTTTGGTTTGAAAAGCTTGTTTGAAAGTGTATGTGTAAAAATTGTTGTTTTGAGCAAGTACCTAAAAGTTTCTACCTACTCGAAAAAAAGTCTGTTCATTTTATTATTTCCTTTAGACAGCTCTATCCTACTATTAAGAAGTAGGTAGCTCCATCATTGGAGTTTAAGGGACAATCGAAAGGGACGAAAGGGACAATTACGATCACTAAAGAAATGGTTAGGAAACCTTAGTAATTACCCTAAAGTTCTAAATATCTTTCCGAGGCAACATTCGAATGGGTCATTTTTTTATCTTTTGGGACTAGAGGACAACCACTAAGACTCCCTATACTTTATGATCGTTTACCGAAGGCAACCGAAGTGGGGCAAACCCTAGGAGTGAGTATGTTCAACTGCTTATTTTTCAGTTTATTTATCTTTTCACAATTAGGGTTTTCTACTGTATTAATTTGATTTATCTTTTGCTTACAAGCCTATTATCCGTACATCTAGATGGTTTATAATTGTAGAAAATTAAAATCAGAAAAGTAAATCTACGCTATTACAAGGCTTCAGGGAGGGGGTTACATAACCAAAAACTGGGGATTGAATAGTAAGATAATGAGCAGCAAAATAAACCCTAATTAAAAGCTATTACAAACTCGAAGCAAATACTATAATTGGAATTAAAAATAAAATATTGCGCGCGCGACGAATTAAATATGGGAATCAAAGTCTAAAATCAAAGGGAATTAAAGAAAATATATATTTTTTATTTATTTTTTGATTGAGAAATTTAACTATTTGCAAATTAACCCTAATTTTCTAATTGATTTTAATTATGAAAAAACAAGAATTTAAATTTCCCTAGATAAATTAATCTAATTAATTAATGAAATAAAATATTTTATGAAAAATCTGATTTTAATGTTTTTGTGATTTTTTTTGTGATTTTTTTGATAAAAATATGATTTTGTTTTGTAAAAACTAATTAAACAAATAATTAAACAAATAAAAGAAATTTAAAAAAAGAATTAACTTGGGCCTGGTGTGAAAGTATTTCTGGGGTGTGAAGAAGAAATTTCCAAGCCCAACATAGCTGGCCCAAAGCTGACGTTTGATCCAATGAGACGCTGGCCAAGAAGGTCTATCACGCGCCTGCATGCTTGAGGC